GTCAAGGTTAAAGAGGGGGTGGCAAGCAGCAGTTGGGAACTTGGGCTGCCCTGGTAGGGCAGTGGGGCAGGGTAGGCAGGAGGAACATGGGGCCACCCCAGGAGGGTGAGGCTGGGCCCCTTCCTGGGGCAGGGAATGAGGTAAGAAAACATTTCAAATAAAGCAGCACCGTTCCCTCTCACCTTGGGGCCCCACTCCTCGCCAGCCCTGGGTCAGGGAGGAGAGGTAGGGGGGGAGTCATTTTGATACACAGCTCCCTCTTCCTACCCTCCCCCTGCCCTTGAAGCTGTAGAGGCTGGAGGCCCTTTCCTGGCACCCAACAACAAAAGGACAGCTCCTGCTGCCAAGGAGGCCCATGGGGACTGAGGGGAAAGGGCTGCCCCTGTGAGGGGCAGGGAAGGCGGCGGCAGTTCTGGACGCCTACCTCAGCAGACAGCTCGCTGTGCCTGCCTACCCCTGGGATGGGGGTGTTTGATAGGCTTCTTCTGCACACAGACAGGACACGCCCAGCCCTGCTCCTCAGCTGCAAGCACCGGACCCATTCACATTGCTGAGGGCAGCTGGGGGAGGCCCCCCTCCAGGCTCAGCTTCCAACCCACCGCCTCCCGGGTAGCCACGATGCTCCTCGGCAGGGCTTAGTCCAGTTCCTGGGGTGGGGGGGCGGCAGTGCCCTGGCACAGTGCCCAGGTCAGGCCCCTGGCCTAGCTGGACATCCAGTAACTCACAGAATAAATAGGAAAACCGCCTCCCCACCGAACTTATGTCCAAGGCATAATATGTCCAGGTCTGAGTCCTGCACGCCGAGGGCTCGTGCTCCATCGCAGAAGACCCTGACACCCCCCAGGGGTGCATAATTGGATCCTCTGCCTGCCTGGCCCACCAAACTTCCCAAGCCCAAACCCCCAGCAGCCGTCCATTTGCCAGGCTATGCCACCTGGGTGGGGGTCGGGAGGGAGGGCTCTGCTCAGCCAAAGGCTATCCCTTGCACCCAAGTCAGTTGATGTCATCGTAGATGCTGGGCGTCGGGGGTGCCGGAGGCTTTGGCTTTTTCTTCTTGTTGGAGCCCAGGCCAGAGGCAGTCCCTACCAGGCTCAGATGGGATTTCTTTTTCTTGGTTTTCCGTGACTCGGAGCTGTTGGTACCTGAAGAGAAGGAGGCGCGAGGGTTGAGGGGAGGGTTGTGGCAGGGGAACGCAAGGTGCTCCCCGTCTTTGGCTTCGGGCAGAGAGCCCCTGGGGCCCATCTGTATCACCTACCTAGACCCCATCCCTGATTCTCACTCGTCTTGGAGGAACCTGAATCAGAGGGTGAGAGATCGGAGGAGCCATCCCACTGAAGCCGGCTGATCAGGGCCTGGCTGTCAGTCATGTCAAAGCTGTCATTATCCAGGGAACTCTCGACCTCTGGAAGGACGCTGGAAAGGGAAGAGGCCAGAGAAGGGCTTCAGGGATACCAATCGTCATCCTTAATCTCCACAACCCACCACCTTTCCTGGAGGATCACTCACGCCGAGGGTCCAAGGAAATAAATCCGCACGGCTCGCCGCTGCTCATCCGTGTGCTGGGGGCAGCGCAGGGACCTGGTGGGGAGAGAATTATCAGACCCTGACAAGGCAGGAAGGGTCTGAGGAATACAGGTGAAGCCCCTCCCCTCAGCAGAGGTGGGAGGGATGGACACAGGCAGGGAAGGGATGAACGGAGAGCCCCCAGATTGTGGCCTAAGGCCTGACCATTAGAAGAGGGGAGGGGAAGGGTGGGAGTCCCGCTGCTCAAGTCCAGGGGTACTCCCGACCCGTGTGCCCAGGGTGAGTGTGCAGGAGGGCCCCCTGGCCCTGTTCCTAGGTTCTGAGCTCACCTTGTGCACATCTTCTTGGTGTGTTCAGAAATCACCCCACATTGCTGGAAGAGGAATATAAGCTGAAAGGAGGGATGGAGGAAAGCCTACTCTAGACACTAGACATTCTCTTCTGTACACATGCTAGACTGTAAGCAGAAATGGCCCCAGGGTGTCCACGGCAGACGGCCCCAGACCACCAATGGCCAGGAAGCCTAATTCCAGAGAGAGACCTAGGTGCCCTCACTGCCATGTCAGCAGCCTCTTTCAGGGCCTCAACCACTGCCTGTGGCTCAGCTCGCTCCCGAGGGCCTCCCCTTCCCTGGTCCCTCACCGTGGTGAGCAGGCTACGCAGCTCCTCCGGCCCCAGGGTCTCGTAGCTGATCCCAGTTGAGTTGTTATACTGGGCAAGAACCAGAGTTAAAGGTTAGAGAAGGGGCAGCCAAAGAAGGGAGGTTGCGGGGGGGGGGGGGGGGGGCGAGGTTGCAGAATCAGTCCCTCTCATCCCTTCCTAAGTGAGAAGGCCTTAAGACTGCCCAGCAGTTTTCCAACAATCCCTTCCATCCCACCTGCACAGGGGTAAGGGGTTGGGACCTACAGAGAACATACATATGCAAGACCTAAATACCCCATCTAGTGCTTCTGGCTGTCAGCATTCTGATCCCCACTTGTCCAATCCCACGCAACTCACAACAAGGACAATGAGAGGGAACCTACAAGGGGCAGCCCCTACTCACCTTAAAAGGATCCGAATTGCTAAGTTCCCCTGAAGAAGAAAAAAGAAGGGGAAGGGTGTTTGATGCAGAGGTACAGACAGAGAACCCTGAAAATAACCAGAGAGGAAGTGGGGGTGACAGAAGGATCACAGGCCCTCCCTCGATACCCCGGCCCGCCCCCCGCGCCCCCCTCTGCCCTCCAGCAATGAGTCCCAGAAGACACAGCTAGAATCACTCCCGTTGTTCCAGCCCCACTTACCATTTTTGTGTTTTAAAGACTTGGATCTTCGAGGGGAATTGGGGTTCTGGAATGGGAGATACCATAGCTTTGGGGAAAGGGTAACGATAAGGGGGAGCCGAGAACCCAGGGAAGGAAAAAAGATTTGACAAAGAAGCATCCTCAAATCCCTACTCTTCCCCATCAGTAAGAGGCCCGTCTACCCAGACTCCCTCCTCCCACCTTCCCCCAAGGCCTCTGCTGCCCTCCTGCCCACCAGACACCCTCATCCCAGAACCCAGAGAGGTACCCAGCGACCTCAGACTTGAGTCAAGACACCCGAGGACTCCCTACCCAAAGGGGAGGGTATGTGTCCTTCGCCCAAATCTCCCTCATGCTTGCCCCAGCTCTCACCTTGTCTGATTTCCTCTTCTTGGCTGTGTAGGACAAAAGGATAAAAGGTAGGGTCACTTTAAGTTCCCAATCTAAGGGCACCTACAGCAAAGTACAAAGCTACACTCTCCCCCCTCATTCAGGATAACAACTTGTGACCGTTACATACCCAATTCCTGCGAGCCCGCCTCACCCCAATGGCCCCCAAATTCCCCAGATCCCCAAACACCTTTCTTCTCTGAGCCATAGGACCAGTCGTTGTCATTGATGTCATCGTTATCCTCTTGGTCACTCTCAGACTTGTTCATGTTGTTGCTATTGGCAATCCTGCCAAGGGTAGGGAAGAGGAAGGGTCAAGGCTGCCACCTCTCTGCCCCCGACTTCACAGGTAGAGTGGAGCATCTGGGGCCAAGCATGACCCACCCTCTGTGCCCTACAAATGCCCCTGGAGGGCTACACCATGGGACGGGCTGCAAAAGGTGAGCCGCTCTGGTTCTAGCAGGGGGAGAAGCCCTCACCGGCGGTTGGCGATTCGACTGCTGTTCCGACCCATTCCCAGGCACTTCTCCAGATGGGGAGCAAAACGGGAGGCGGCAATGCTGCGGCTGCAATTGGGGCAAACACACTCCTTGCTCTTCCACTGGTTGAAAACCTGTCCAAAGATGTCCAACCCCGGCTGGTCCACGATCTCTGGGGACAGGAGAGGCGTGTCGATCAGGGCGGGCAGGGGACCCTCACCTCTCGTTCCCACCCATGGCCCCATGGCCTCTTCAAAGCCCCTGCCTAAGCTCACAGGAGCTCCACGTTCTACATGTGGTGCGGCTGCCAGAGAAGGACCCTCCAAGCACTCCCAGGACAGGGCTAGACTGCTCTCCTTCAACCCTGAAGCTCACCAAAATCCTTCATGCTATCAGGGTCCGTGTCGTCCAGGAAGAAATAGCCACACTTGACAGCCCGGTGTACCTCAAAGCAGAATCCCAAACAAGAATCCTCGACCAGGTCCGCGTATATCTCCTGAGCGATGGCCTGGGCCCAGGGGAGAACATCCAGGGTCACAAGAGTCATAGTCCCATGGACTGAGAGCAACTCTCACCAACCAAATCTGCCAATTCGCCCTGGTCAAAAATAATGCTTTCTTTGCCATTTTCCCCATCTTGACTTCGAGTTCTTTCTTCTTCTGGATCCTCGGGCCTTCTTAGCTGGCTATTCCCTTTAAGGAACAAGGCTGACTACCCAAATTCCTCTCTGGTTCGGACGCCAGATAAAGTGACGAAGAAACATCAAGAGAAAGAACTGGAGGCACACGTGGGGGAGCCCTCACCTCTAGTTTGCTGTTATCCAGGCCAGACAAAGACATTTCCTCCATTTTCATTTGTAAACTCTTGTGGAGACGGCGCTCTGACTGCTCATAGCACAGCGGGCGGCAACACGGCTGCACACATGGGGGTGGGGGTGTTGGTGTGAGTCCAAGACACCTCTGATGACTGCCACCTCCCCTCCGCACCTCGCTGCCCAGAGCTCAATGGTGGCATCGGGATCTACCTCTCCCTAAAGCCTAGGCTCACTAAGTCTGGATGGTCCTTCAGGGCCTGAAACCCAAGGGCGGCCTAGTCCTTCCCAAGCCTGAACTCAGGCCCTGGACTCTACTGCCAATCAGAGTCTGGGTCTACAGGAGGCAGCAGCTCCCCCCAGGTCCCCAAAACTCAAACCCCTCTTCGATACCCATGGTGCAATGCAGCAGGGGGAGGAGAAGGAACTCTAAGGCCTCAAAGCAAACCCACAGGGTGTGGCAAAGAACTGCACAGACTCCTAAATACACTCCCCTCCCTTCGCTAGGCTCTCCTCAGAGCCACCTCTGCTTTCAGCCAGGATGTCCACTTGGGGGGGTACTGCTACCAGAAGTAGGAATGGCCCTAGGACCCTACAACCTTCACCCCACTCTATCTTCCCTTGCAATAAGCCTGCCACTACAGAAGGGGAGCAGAGCCCACAGAAATCTAGAGCTAAAGGGGCATTTCTAGCCACCATGAGCAAGAGGAGGTAGAGTCCGGTGGAATGGCAGGCCAAGAGTGGGCACTCCCCTTACCTGTTCTTCTTTTAGATAACCACCCTCCCTCCCTCAGGACCAGCCCGGAAGTCTCTCCAAGAGCCCCAAAGTCCAGGAATCCCCACCAAAGGATTCAGAAACAGCGCCCACAGTCCGGGGCCCCTCTGAACGGTGGGTACGAGTTTAAGGAGCTGCCGGCCTAGAGTGGGGTGGGGACTGACAAATGAGCCGGGGGCACTGGGGAGGGTAGGAGGCCGGGCCTCGGCTCTTCCCCCGTCCCTGCGGCACTGCTGCTGCATCATACCAACTGGGGGGAGGAGAGCCGAGCCGCCGGAGGCCGGCGCCGGTCCGGGACAGACCGACCCTTAGAGAGTGGGCAGAGTGGGACGCGTCCCGGCCCCTCTTCCTCCCCGCCCGCCGACAGCCCCGGCCGGCCGGGGAGAGGAGTCCGGGAGGGTGTCTCTATTGTCCCGGGGGCTGGGGCCTGGCTCCCTAACAAAGGCCCCGCGCCCCCTCCCCGGCCGGCCCTGCCCCGCCCAGGGGGGACCCAGACAGGGGGAGAGCGGGGGGCCCCGGCCGGGCCGGGAAGCCGGGGGAAGCCGGGCGTTTCCGCGGCGGCCCGGGGGGAGGGGAAGGGGCGCTGACCCAGACCTGGGGGGAGGGGGCCCAAGCCCCGCCTCGGGCCCCGCCCCCCGCCCCCCGCAGGCCCCTCCCCCGTCCCCGTCTCCGTCCCGTACTCACCCCGCCCGGGGGGCCGCGCCGGGGCCCGGCGGCCTCTCAGGGCCGCGTCCTCCGGCGGCGGCGGCGGCGGCGGCTGCTCCGGAGCCCCATGTCCGTCGGTCCGTCCTCGCCTCTCCCCGGGGCCCAGGGCCCGGGGCCGGGGGGTCGGGCCGCCCCCCCGCCTCGCCGCCTCACCGGGCGGCCATGGCCCCTTCCCCTCCCTTCTCGTCCCGTCGCCGCCTCCTCCTCCTCACCTCACCCCGCCCGCGCGCAGTCCGCGCGCCGTCCGCGCGCCCCTCCCCCCGCCCCCCACTCCAGCCCGCCTCTCCCGGGCGGGGGGTGCGGCGCGAGCCCGGAGCGCGCGCGCGTGCCGCGACCGGAGGATGGATGGATGGAGCGAGCGAGAACGCGAGCGTGCGCGCGCGCGCCCCTCTCCCCCCTCCCTTCGCGCGGGCGCGAGGCCAAGCGCGAGCGCGCTCCAACCTCCTCCTCTTCCTCCTCCCGCCCCTCCTCAACACCCCGCCCCCGCCCTCCCTTCCTCTTCCTTCTTTCGCTTTCGCGCGCCCAGCGACTGCTCGCGCCTGCTAGAAGGGCCCGAGCGCGTGCATCTGCCCCGCGGCCGCAGCTCGGCAGCATTTGCTCCAGGGGGCGGGGACCGGGCGGGGAGGAGGGGCGCCACGCCGCCGTCCAAAGTACCGGCGGACAGGGACGGGGGCGGGGAGGTGGGCGGGGCCTTCGGGAGCCACCTCGGCCAATTGCCGTCTCGCCCCGGCCCGGCCGGCCCAATAGGATGGCGGTGGGTGGAGCGGCGTTCAAGGTGAGGTGCGCGGTGCGCTGGGGGCGGAGACGTTGTGCCGTCCCGGCCGGCTCCGGGGCGGGGGCAGCGGGTGGCGTCGAAAGAGAGCGCCGGCTCCCAGCCGAGCCTGGGACGCCTTCCGGCCCAGGCTCCCCCGCCCTTCCCTCCGGGCTCCCGGCTCTTTTTCCCCCCAGCGCCCCCACCCCGGAGTTCACCCCGAATCGTGCAGTCGCTTCTGTGAAGAGGCCAGAGTTGAAGTGGGACGCAGCAACTCAGGCCAGAAAACCTGAAGGGGGCTCGTCCGAGCCTCGGTTCCCCGTGTTCCTGGGCGGGTCTCAGCCCACTCCAGGCCTGAGAACCAACAGACGCCCGAGTTGAGGGTCCTCCGCTGAGGGCAGAGGCCGAGCTGTGCCAGTCTGAGCGGAGCGCCCTCCCCGCCGTCATCCTAATTTAGATCCCACACCTGCTCGCCTTTCCTGCTTCCGGAACCCACGCTGGACCGCCCCCCACCCCACCTCTCCTCTCCACAGCTTGCCAGTCAGTGGCCAGACCCTTACTCCGACCCAGTTCTACTTACTCCCCAGTGTGTGCCCATATCCGCGCGCTCTCACAGTCCCTCTTCTGGAGCAAAGGGCCTTTCCCAGCCGCAGTAGATGCTTAGACTGGCGCTTCCATCTCAGTTACTCTCTGTGTCTGGAGTCCTAAAACGGGTATATGACGGCCCTCTTCCTTCAGAAGATGAGATTAAATGAGGAAAGTCTTAAATCATATACTTCGGGACCATCACTGATCCTTTAGTCTTCAGCAAGCATTTATAGAGGCAGTAGTCCTAAGTGGTTAAGACCAGGAATCATCTGAATTTAAATCTGTGGACTTGACAAATGAACTGGAGCAAACGAGCTCTCTGTTGCCCCAGTTTACACTGTTGTCACCGGGTATAATGATAGTACCTATCTCATTAGGTTGTTGTGGGGATTGACAAGTCAGTGCCGGAGAAACTCGGCTCAGTGTGTTTGATAAATCTTAGCTGTTACTCTTACGGTGCGCTGTTAAGAATTCTTATGGTGCATCCGTGCTGGGATGCAAAAATAAAATAAGACAGTTATACTTCCTCAAGAAGTTCACAATTTGTGGGGTAAACAGATCTGTAGGAAAATAATTGCCAGTGTAATAAGAATAAGAGAGCTCGGGACTTCCCTGGTGGCCCAGTGGTTAAGACTCTGCGCTTCCACTGCAGGGGCCACGGGTTCCACCGGTGGTTGGAGCTGACCATAGGGGACAGAGGTGGCCAGGTGAAGGAATCAAATGATGTAAAAGCGTTGGTCAGGAAAGGCTGCTTTTAGTGGGAGAGGAGCCAGGTCAAGGCAGGCCAAGAAGGCACTAGATATCTCACACAGAAGTTTCAGAAGTGAAGTGCCCAGGGACTTGCCTGGTGGCGCAGTGGTTAAGAATCCGCTTGCCGATGCAGGGGACACGGGTTCGAGCCCCGGTCCGGGAAGATTCCACATGCTGCGGAGCAACTAAGCCCGTGCGCCACAACTACTGAGCCTGTGCTCTAGAGCCCGAGAGCCACAACTACTGAAGCCCGCCCGCCTACAGCCCGTGCTCCGCAACAAGAGAAGCCACAGCAATGAGAAGCCCGCGCACCACAATGAAGAGTAGCCCCCGCTCACTGCAGCTAGAGAAAGCCTGCATGCTGCAACTAGAGAAAGCCTGCGTGCAGCAACGAAGACCCAACACATCCAAAAATAAATAAATTTATTAAAAAAAAAAAAGTGAAGTGCCCAGGAGTCTGGGCACTGGCTGGAACATAGGAATATATGGGGAAATAGCAAGAAGTAAGCAGGGCAGACCATGCAGGACTAAGGGTGTTCTGAGGAGTCTGCGGGCTTTAACCCTACAGGCTGTGAGGAGTCCTCAAGGGGAACTGTTTGACTTGCATCTTAAGTAGATCACTCTGGAATGTGGAGTCTGGATAGCTTAGAAGTAGTAGGTTTTCGTTATAGCTTGAGATGTGTGGGGTAAAGGAGAGAGAGACCCTGAATACATCATTAACCAAGATGGGGAACTCTGAGGAGGAGATGTGAGGATACAGGACAATGACAAGTTCAGTTTGAGATATGTTGGAGTTACTGTGGAATCAGCTGGTGGAGACTCTCAGAAGGTGTTTGAACTTGAGTCTAGAGCAAAGTAGTGAGGCCAGGACTTCAGGTGTCTCCACAGTGTGAATCAGGAATTCTCCACTCCGATGACCCTGATCTGTTTCTTAGTCTCGGAATATGTGCAATACATCCTGCCCTGAGGAATTTACACATGCCCAGGAAGCCTTCCTATCTCCTCCCTGTTTACCTAAATCCTTCCTCACTTCACCCCTGGCCACCCTCACAAGAAACTCCTTTAAAACTGGATTGTACTATTCATTTGGCACTTGGCCTGAGCAGTCTGTGGTGGTGACCTCTTTGGGCACGTGCCCGGTCTCCACAGTTAGCACCAGTCAATAAACACTAAGGACTACACTGGTCCAGGCTCTGGGCGAAGTGCAGTGAGCCAGAGAGACACACAGACCTTGTCCTAGTGGGGCTTACAGCCCAGCAAAGCCTGAAGTGGAAGAAAGATTGAATGTGAAGGCATCCAGGCTGCTGAAGAAACAAATGCATAGAGATCTTTTAGTCAGGGGGTCAGGGGAGGCTCCCTGGAGGAAGTGGTCTTTTAAGTGGAGCCCTGAATTAACTAGGAAGAGAGGTGAAGAGGAACATTCTAGGCAGAGGGAATGGTTATGTGCACAGGCAGAATGTGGGAAGAGAGTGTGGTGTGTTTGAATCTTGGATGGCTTGTGTAGCTGGAGTTGGGCAGAGAGGCCAGCAAGGGCACCAGATCCCCCAGGGCGTTGTGGACCCTATTTATTCCCTCATTTAACAAATATTTCCTTTTTTTTTTTTTTTTTCTTTTGGCTGCATTGCACAGCATGTGGGATCTTAGTTCCCTGACCAGAGATCGAACCTGCGTCTCCTGCAGTGCAAGCACAGAATCTTAACCACTGGACCGCCGGGCAAGTCCCTCAACAAATAATTCTTGACTGTAAAATGTATGCCAGGCACTTTTAGGTGCTGGGATTACTGTAATGAATGAACAGATACGTTGCCTTCTACTTGGAGAGATAGACAATGAACAAGTAAACAGATACAGAAACAAGGAGTTGTAGAAGAAGGCCTCTCTAGAGAGGGTGGTCAGGGAAGGCCTGTGAGGTGACATTTGAGCTTAAGTCTGAAGGATGGGAAAAACAAGCTATCTGTAGTGTTGGAGGAATGGCACTTTGGGTAGGGAAAACAAGTGCAAAGGTCCTGTGGTAGGCATGCTTGAGGAACAAAAGACAGATCCCTTGGCTCGATCCTTGTGAGTGATTAGGAAGAGTGGAGTGAGAGAAGGGAGAGGGGAAACAAGGGTTAGGCCTTTTAGGGTCATTGTAAGACAAGGAGTTGTAAGTGTTAGGTCATCAGATTTGTTTTAAAAAGATAGTTTTGGTTGCTGTGTGCAGAATGGACTGTAGGGGGCAAGAGAGCAAGCAGGAAGACCAGTTTTAGGTCTTTGCAGAAGTTGAGCAATGGTGATGGCCTGAAGAGGATGGGGATGGAAGCAGGTAGACAGATTTGAGAGAGATACGGGAAATGGAACGGACGGGTCTAGGTGAGCGAATTTCACCTCCTTTCACTAAGAGATGAAATAGGGAGCGAGGACTTAAGGATGATACACTGATTTCTAGATTGAATGACCAGATAGTTAGTGACCATCTGGGGTCTTGAGGTATGAGGTGCCTGCAAGATATCCCGAAGGATACACTGAAGTCTGTACGGGTCTGCAGCTTGGAAAAGCGGTCTCTATAGAGGCCACCTTTTGGAATGGTTACTATGGGTGATAACTGGGGGTTCATGGAGTGACTTGAACACCTAGGATAGAATGAGGAGGAGGTGGGACTTCCCCTGGTGGCACAGTGGATAAGACTCCACGCTCCCAATGCAGGGGGCCTGGGTTCGATCCCTGGTCAGGGAACTAGATCCCACATGCATGCTGCAACTAAACGTTCGCATGCCTCAACTAAGGAGCCCACGTGTCACAACTCAGGAGCCCATGTGCTGCAACTAAGGAGCCCACCTGCCACAGCTAAGACCCCACACAACCAAATAAGTAAATAAAATAAATATTAAAAAAAGAAATAAAATCAATCCCTTATTTATTAAAAAAAAAAAAGAATGAGAAGGAGTGGATGCCAGCAGAGTAGACCAAGAAGTCAAGAGACAGGCAAGTGGGACTTCCCCGGTGGTCCAGTGGTTAAGACTCCACACTCCCAATGCATGGGGCCCAGGTTCAATCCCTGGTCAGGGAAGTAGATCCCACATGCCGCAACTAAGAATCCACATGCCACAACTAAAAGATCCCTTGTGCCGCAACTAAGACCCAGAGCAGCCAAATTAATTTTAAAAAAAGAGAGACAGACAAGTGTCCACTGGGTGTAACTGATGAACTTGTTGGTGACCTCAGCGAGTCACCTCAGAGGAATAGTGGGTGGGAGGTGAGGAAATGGGAGACGATGAGGGGCAAGGAGCTTTTCAGAAGTTTGGCCAAGCATGAGAGAGGGGTGTGGGGTGAAGGGAGAGGTCTTAGATGGCCCTGGGTCGTTAGCCCTTGGTGGTTGCAGGAACCCAGCCAAGGCTTGTGGAGGGAAGGCTGTCCTCCTTAACATCAGAGAGCAAGTCATCTCAGCCCAGCCCACTTCCCATCAGAGGTCTGGGTCACTAGGAAAGTCATTCCTAACCCTGGTGAGGCTGAGGGCTCAAGGTGGGAGGGTTACACCAACTCCCAAAGATAAGCCCTTGCATGACCATGGTGAACACCCCGACCCTAATGGTTCATTCATCACCTCCGTTTTTCAAGGCAGTGCATTCCGGGAGAAAATAATGTATCTGTTTCCCAAATTCTTAGGCCTTAGTGGTCTGACAACCCGAGGTGAACAAACTGAATTGAGAAAGTGCAAGAACAGTAGCACGAAACAATGTGAAGGCAGGCTGCCTACAGAATCGTCAGGGATGAGGAAGATGGTTCTAGAAAGAAGGGGCAAACAAGCTGGCTTCAAGGGTCTTTCCACATTGAGACTGTCCGGTCGCCCCTGTCTCTACTCGCCCTTCATTGAGTCCAGTGATCAGACAGCAGTCAAATGTTTGTTTTTTACTTTATTGTACAAAAAAAGGGAAAACAAAACTTCCACAGTTGGCCTTCAGCTTAGGCAGACACCTCTAAGCCATTCCCTCCCACCTCCCATGATGCAAATTCAAGTTGCAGTTGTTGTTGAAACCTACAAAAACACTTCTTAAATATCAGGAAAAAACCGGAAGGTGGGGTGGGAGTGAGGGTCCTCCCACCCCAGCCGTCCCATCCCAGTGCCAAAATGCACCGAGTCACCTCTCACAGCACTAACTCCCCCCCCCCCACAGCCCTGTTCGTACTGTAAGAATTTTTCAAATTTTAAAACAGGAAAAAAAAAAAGGGCCCCATTCAAAGTTGTTTTTAAATGAAAACACATTCCGCTAAAACACAACAGCGCAGGGGCACTCAGGGTAATGGGGTTCTTTGCAGGGGCTCTTGGGAAGAAATAGAACCTTACGGACCCCTGTACCTAATTCCAGGATCCGGACAAATGGGAGTAGGAGTGGGGAGTGTCCCTCCCTAGCCACCCCCTCCCCCCCCACAGCACCATGGCTAAGGCAAAGCAGATGGTCTGCCTTCCTCTGGGAAGGGGACCTACCTTTCCCATCCCACCTCCTAGGTAGAGTTCCCATTCTTCCCCATCCCTTGGCTTCCATTCGCAGGGGAAGGTGGAAATGCACAAAGCCCCAATTAAATAGGTCACTGATGTGATTGTTTTTTTTAGAAAAGAGAGAAGCCAAAATTTAATAAAAAACAAACCAACAAAAATTAAACCCACAGAGGCAAGGTGGCTTGGCTTACGAAGAATCTAGGAATCAGGGTACCAAAATGAGGGGGATGGCTGGGAAGGTTTAGGAGGACAGCTTGCAAAAGCAGCTTTTGCAGACCTCTTCCCAAAGCTGTGGATTTGGGGAGGTGGGGCGGGGAAGGGAACACACCTGAGAAATCAAAGGAAACAGGCGTGGGGTAGCTGGAGGATATGCGGGGGAAAAGACAGGAGGGATTGTAAGTTAAGAGCTTCCAACACATTTCTTGAAGGCCAGGTTCAGGGCCCAGGGTGGCTGGGTGACCCCTCAGATGAGCTGCAGGGGCCTTTCCCACCAAATCAAAGCTTTAAGCTTCACCTGGTCCGTTCCCCCTCCCCACAGTCCTGCTGGGTACTGGAGACTAGCAGTAGCTCCAATGACCCTGACAGAGGGAAACCAGTATAGGAAACATCAGAGTGGCTTCAGTACACCCCCCAAATTGAATTAGAGATCAAGCAAAGCAGAAGATATGGAGAAAGGGGCCACCGCGGCCTATCCCCACCAGGATCAACGTCTCCCTGGCCCTCACCAACCCTTTTACCAGTTTCACACACTGAGGTGGGCGCCCCCTTCTCTCTTACACGCACAAATGCACATGTGCCTTTGCACACATCCACAGGTGCACCCATGCTATGTATAGGCCACACACGCACACGCACACGCACACACGCGCACATACACTTTTCCATACGCATCAAGACCGTTTTAAAAAAGTCCGAAACCTACCCCCTAAACCCTCCCTCTCCCAGAAATGACAACAGAGACGGCAGCCGAGGTCGGTAGGAAACGTCTCGTTGACAGCTCAGAGCTTAAAAAAAAAAAATATATACACATATATAAAAAACACTTCTGCCCCCTCCCCGCCGCGAGTGGGTCCAGGCAGCTCCTTCCCGCAGGGGGCAGGAGAGGGCCATGGGGCAGTGCCTATTTTCCCATAGGCGCCCGCCCTCCTCTCCCATGTTCCCTGCCTCCAGTTCCAACGTAGGGGTCCAGGCTGCAAGCCCCTCTGGAAAGAAAGGGGTCTTCCCCAAGCTTCCACCCTCCCTTGGGTTGGGCTGCAGGTGTAGGGGGCCTCACTGAACTCTTTGGGACCCACCCCCCCCATCCCACTCCCAGGTCCATTGTCCATGCCGGAACCGCAAGTGCAGACGGGGGTGGGCTGGGCCGGTCCAGTGGTGGCTCAGTCTGATGGTTGTGCTCCCTGGAGGGCCCCCCAGGGCTGATGTCTCTGAGGCCGAAGAGTTCTGGCCTGGGCGCCTCCAGTGCCTCCCCCCACCGTATTTTTTTTTTTTTTTTTAAAAAAAAAAAAAAAAAAAAAAAAAAAAAGGAAAGAAAGAAAGTGGGGGAGGCCAAGGGGCAGGGGACAGAACATGGGGGAGAAACAAAGGTGGTCAGTCGGGGAGGGGAGCCCCGGGTGGGGCTGAGCCTCAGTTGGAGTCAGAGTCCGAGGAGTCCCCCGAGGAGGAGGAGCTGGAGCTGCTGCCCTCGGACTCGTTGTCCTCATCCTCGTCGTCGTCCTCGTCGTCGTCCTCATCGTCGTCATCCTCCTCATTCTGCGAGGCAAGGAGTGTGCAGTCACCAGGTGGCCGTCCCGGCGGGACCCCGCTCTCCCCTCCCACCGGGCCCCGTCCATCCCACCTCATCCCCATCCTCGCTCTCATCCTCGCTGCTGGATTCGGAAGAGTCCCCCCCGTCCTCAGAGGAGTCCCCGTTCTCATCATCTTCCTCGTCCTCCTCCTCCTCCTCCTCCTCCTCATCCTCTTCATCGTCATCCTCAGACTCCTGGGAGAGACGGAAGCGCATCAGTGGTCCCTGCCACACCACTCCAGGCCCCGCGGACCCCCCGCTCCCGGTCCCCCTTCTGAGAGGGGCTCCTTACCGACTTAGACTGCAGGGTCGTCCGGCTGGACTTGGGGTTCGGGCCTCGCAGCTTGGTCATGCTCTTACGTTTCTGTAGGAGAGGATGGGGACGTGGGCCAAGGGAGCAGCCGTGAGCTCCAAACATCCTCCCGCCCAACTTCCCTCCTTATCCCAACACCAGCCCGCTCCTAGACTCACATTCGAGATGTACTCTTTATATGCTGCACGGTCCTGGGGAGACAGACTCTGGGGGAGACAGAGAAGAGGTGAGGGTTGAAACACGACCCAAACCACTGCTGACTGAGCATGCTGGCCAAGTGCCAGGCAGTGGGCTGGGCACTGCCCGCCATCCCACCTTCGCCCGTCCCAGTCTCCCCGTACCTTGGGTCTCTGCAGAGAACCCCAGGGACCTGAGAACACAGCTCAGTGTTTCTGCTTAAGATGCCCTGAAGCCTTTTCTAAGCTACCCTGTCCTAGGACTGTTGGTTTTCATGTCTGTCCTGTTACTCTACCCAAATGGAGGCTCCAGATTCAGGGTCTTCCTCAACTCAGAGAAGCCCCATACGATGACTTCCATAGCCTGGCTGCAACACTCCTCCCCAGAAGCCAAGTCCAGAGCCACTGCCAACGCAGTGGGGCTCACCAAACTTCTGAAACACTTAAACCCTGCTAATTCCCTGGGTTCTTGGCCAACCTGCCTGGGTGGCCGGGGAGGACATCAGTGACTCTCCCCACTTTACAGATCTGACTGCTCAAGCAAGGCACAGAAAGGAAGCTCAGAGGCTAGGGGCTGAGCCAGAGTCTAGGAGAGGTCCCCTGGTCCCAGCTGCAGGGAGGAAAAGGCAGTCTGATTTGGATTTTCCCACTCACTGGCTGTGTGACCTTGGCTAAGTTACTTAACCTCTCTGAGCCTTGGTTTCCTTATCTTTGACAGTAATCATTACCCTGAAGGACTGCTGGGACACTGAATGAAATCATGAATGCAGACCAGCCACCACGATGCTTCCGTCTTCCTTCCTAGGGTCCCCCAGCCCTCTCACCTTGACCCAGAGGTCCAGGTGCACTTTGTACTGCTTCTGCTGCTCCTCGGCCTGCTTTTTGTAGTGCTCCTTCTGGCTCTGGGAGATGCGCTGCCAGCGGCTGCCAATCTCCACCATGCGCTCCTTCAGTGGCAGGTGGTTCAGCTGCCCATTGGACAGAAGCTCCTGGGAGAACTTCTGGTAACCGTTCCTGGGAGGCGGGGGTGTTGCAGGGAAGGTCAGGAGACCAACCAAGCAGCCGTCCTGCCCTGACCCTCCCCATCCCTAGGGTGAACTCCAGCCCCCAGACTCACATGGGAGGCTTCTTGGGTTCTCCCTGGAACTTCATCTTCTTGGATGAGTTTGCAGCAGCCGGGGGTGCCCGCCTCTCACTCAGCTCTCTCTATGGGGACACCCGGAAAGGTCACACTCATCCTCCCACCTGCCCCATGCCATCTGACTCTCCTTTTATGTACCAGGAAGGAGGAGAAACTGAGGCACAGCCAAGGAGCAACTTCCTAACAGCTCACACCTGTGTCAGACAGGCACTGCCGTCTAAAAGTGCTTTCATAATTGCACTCACACGACTAGTATCACTGCCCTCGTTTTAGTGATGCATCACTGAGGCTCCCAGAAGGAAGTTAAGAGACTTACTTAGGGTCACACAACCCAAGCTGGGACTTCTGGCTCCAAGTCCCACGCAGTGAGGAAAGCCGCCCACCCAGGAGGGTGCTCCTGAGTTTTAAGTGGAGAGAGGTGGCCCCAGCTCCATCCTGCCCCACCGCGCTAACCAGAAGCCCTCTTTCTACCTCATATCGCTTTTGGTCTTCGGCCGCCTTCTTAATCCACATTAGTTTCTCCTTCTTTTCCATGTTGTTCCAAGTCATCTCCATGGCTTTCAAGGCCTTCTCCCGGTCGTTCTGGGGACAGACAGGGGTGTCAGCTGTGGGAAGGGTCACCTAGGGCTGGAGCGGGTCTGCATGGGCGGTGGCAGAACAACCCCTTTCCTATGAAATTAATAATAAAGCAACTACTTATCCAGAAAAAAAAGAGAAAGAAAAAGAAAACGGAAAAAGAAAACAGAAAAGCAACAACAACCACACACACACACACACACACACACACACACACACACACACACCAAAAGAAAGAAAAAGAAAAGAGAGAAAAGGAAAAACCCCGAACAACCCCTTTCCCACTGCCTGCCACCTTGAAGCGGGCCAGGTAGTCGCCGATGACGCTCTGTTGCCAGATCTCCTCGGCTCTTTTGGGCGACTCTGGCAGCTTGCCCGGCTTCCTCTCCGACTGGGCCTTCAGTGCGGCCTCCCGGGCCTTGTACTTGGCCTGCGGAGGGGCGGCAGAGGCGTCAGCCTTCCGGCCACCCCCAGGGGGCGCACGTGGCTCGTCCAGCAGTTGAAGGCTCTCCCGGCCGCCGGCAAGGGTGGGGTGAGCAGAGGCGTGGGCCGGTGCAGATGTCTCCGGCCAGGGGCACAAGCCGCCCAGCGGCCCTGCTCCCCAGGGAGCTCACAGCCCACAGCTGACAGCTTCCCGCCTTCCGGCTCGCTGGGTTCCCAGCCCCACCATCTGCGCCCAGGCACCCTTGCGGCTCACACCCCACACACACCTGGGGCAGGGTGAGGAAGTACAGCTAGCCCCCAGGGGAGAAGCAGCCCAGACTCTGCCCGGCAGCCCCTCCGGTCTTGCAAGCCTGACCTTTTTCTTCTCTGACAGGTCGTTCCACATGCGGGCCAGCAGGCGGGTCAGCTCGCTCTCTGAAAGCTCAGGCCGCTCTTCCTGCAGCTGCCGCCGCTTTTCTTCCGAGAAGATGAACATGGCTGACACAGGCCTCTTGGGCTTCTCCGAGCCACCCTTGTAGATGTGCAAAGAGGGTCGGGGTCCACGGGGTGCTCACGGGGAGCCCCCCCTCCCCCCCCCTCCCCCAGGACCTGCTTGGTCGTGCCCCCTGCTCACCTTGCCCCCTTCCTGGGAGGGTTTCTTGGAGGCTGGGCTGGTGGCTTGCTTCTTGTTGATGTTCAACATCTTCTCCTCCCCCAGGACCCGCTGCTGCTCCTCCTCAGGCAGGCTCTGCTTGGGGAGAAGGGGCGCCACGGGGCTGAATGTCTGGTCCCCAGGCTGCTTCCTGGTTGTCTTAAGGGCGCTGCTCACCAATTCCCCGGCCTCTCTCTGCCCGCTGCCCTCCCGAAAGGAACACTCACCTCTAGAAAACGGAGCAGTTCCACCTCATAATCTTTCTTTTTCTGGGGAAGGAAAGGGAGTCAGGGTCAGTACGGGGGCAGCCTCACGGGAGACCCTCCCATGCTCAGGGGACAAACAGTAGCCCTCAGCAGACCTTCCAGAGCCTGGACAGGGCCTAGTCTCCCTCCATAGATGGCAGGCGCGAGGCCCAAGAATCTGCCTGGATCAGCCCAGATGCTAAACCTAGCACAACACCATGTCTGAAGCAGGTGCCCAGGGGTCAGATCTCATGCTTCAAACCCCCAAGGCTCTCCAGGAGTCCTCCCTCTCCAGGGCTGGCTCCTGCCACAGCTCACCTGGTCGCACTTCTTGTGGTAGGCATCCTTCTCCTTCTGGGAGAGCAGCTTCCACTGCTGGCTGCACAGCACCATGCGCTCTGTACTGGGCACGTCCTTCATGTTGGCCATCAGCTCTGCGCAGTACAGGGAGTAGCTGTTCCTGTCACAACCGGCAGCAAGGGAGGAGCGGCCCTGTGAGCGACCTGGGAGGCCCAGGGCGGCAGCCCCCTCACTTCCAGAGCCTGGGCTGAGGCCCTTCCCCAACCCGGCTCCCTAGCTGCCCACTCGCCCACCCGCCCCAGGGCAGCGCTCACGGAGGTGGCTTGGTGGGTCGCCCGTCAAACTTGTCCTTGAGCTGGCGTTCGGCCTTGGTGAGGGTGGACTTGGTGATGCCCTCCTCACTGATGTTGAGCTCGGGGTGTTTCTGGATATAGTCTCGCATAATCTCCTGCAGAGTGAGGTGGGGGGGATGGAGGGCAACGGGGTGTGGGGTTAGCTGGGGCCGGGGGGGTGGGGGAGAGCCGCTGGGAAGGGGAGGCAGGGAGCAAAGCTGGGGGGTGGCCGCGTGTCTGCTGTGTCACACGAGACGTGGTGCCCTGCCCTGCCCTAGCCTGAGATCTCATGGGGGGGCGGGGCGGGGAAGGTAGGGGCAGAGGTGAGGGGCCCGAAGGCCCCTCCCTCAGCGGTAGGACGGGGAGAGACTGCCTGCCGCAGAGTGCGGAGGCCGCAGAGTCAGAGGGCAGAGGCTCGTGAAGAGCCGGGCGGGGAGGAGCGCAGCGGAAGCCTAACCTCGTACTCCTTCCGCTGCTCCAGGGCCTTATGAATCCATTTCAGCCTCTTTTTGTCCGAGAGCTGAGACCACTGCTTCCCCAGGGAGTCCTTCACCTCCTTCGTAGTGGCCTGCAAACCAAAAGCCGTCAGACACACACAGGCAGCCAGGGGCAAGGGGGGAGGGGCAGGGGAGGGGGACACAGAGGCCCCCGCCCCCTCAGGCCACAGGAGGTCACGAGAGTGTCCCCCACAGGCCAGGAGGGGAAGGCAGAGAGGCGGCGGGGGTGGGGTGGGGTGGGGCGGGGGGTCCCGCCTGGGTGCAAGGGGACAGGCTCACACACGCACACATGCACACACTCGCACGCCAGCTGGCCCAGGCCCTGTCCATGCAGCCCACCCCTGGGGAGGGGCCTCCTCTCCTGCTCCCCTGCACCGTGCCCGGCCGATCTGGCGCGGCTCCCCCTTGCCACTACCGTGCGCCCTCCCTGCCACCCCTTGGCCGGACACTCACGTCTGGCCGCACTTTGAGGTACACCTTCTTCTCGTGGGTGTACCACAGCTGCTGGGGGGTTTTGGGCTTCTCAGGGATGTCCGACTTCTTGGCATTCTGGATTAGGTCTGGGTGATCCTCCCTAGCCAGGTCACGGGGAGCAACAGTCAATGGGGGGAGGGGGATCCTGCCAGGGCAGACCCAAGCTAGCTGCCCCACCCACCAAGGCTCCTTGGCCTATCGGCTGGGGCCTAGCGGGACAGCGGGTGCCTGCCGGTCCCTGCCCTTGAGCCTAAGCCACTAGGGTCTACAGGTGACCCATCCATCTCCCGTGCCTCAAGTGCCAGGCTCTGGTCATTGCTACCCTCTCCTGCCGCACCCAGCGCCCTGTGGCCCTCCTCTGGGCTCCACTGCCTTACCTGAATCGGGCGAGGTTTCGCTCAAACTCCTGTTTCTCCCTCTGGAAGTCCTGAATATATTTCATCTGGGGGGAGGAGGTGACGGGGTCATCCACAACCCAAGGCCTGAGCTACAAAACCCACTAAGTCCTCCTTGCTAGCTCTTCTGCCTCCCAGTTGGTGATGTATACAGAGGATGTCGTGAGCAGGAAAGGGATGGCGGCCTGCCTTCCAGCGGGCTGAGGATGGGGAGCTCTACCGTAGCCCAGACAGCGGGAGCTACAGGGGTCTCCCAGAACACATCCTACATCCTGTCCCCACCCTTTAAGAAAGGGAAAGAGTCCCAGGAAAGGGACATGGCATTATCCAGTCACACAGCGACAGGGCTGGGACTCCCCGCAACACTACCCCTCTGCCTTTCCCCAACGCCAGGACACTCCCAGGGAGAGTCAGGAGATGTAGGTCTCGCTCCTGTCGCGCTCTCCTCCCGTGTCCCTGGCAGCTGATACTAATCCACCCCCTCAGAGGCGGCCCACAGGGCAAGTGGCAGGCTGAGTCCTGCTCCAAAGGGAGATCGCACTGAAGGGAACCCAGAGTGAATTCCTGTTATCTGGATTTTTCCCCCCATCTGCTACCTTTGGGTCCCTGGCTGTCCTTGGCGATCCTGACACCATCCCCACCCCCACCCCCTTCCTCAGTCATTGCCACCTTCCCTGCCTCTGATCCCTTCTTCCAGGCTCCTGGCTCTTCGGCTCCTTGAACCCTCCCTCCCCCAGCCCCATCATTCTCCTTTGCTGTTTGGCTTCCCTTCCTTCGCCTGCACCGGCTTCTATCAGCCTGGTCCTCCCTTCCCACCATCCCACCTCCAGCCCGGTATCCTTCCTGCCTCTCCACACCCCTCACTCTGACTTCCTTTCCAGCCTGTCTCTTTCCCTTCCTCATCTACATCCTGTCCTGGCTCCCACTCAATGTCCATCTTTCCTTTATCCCTCTTCTTCCCAGATTCACAAATGAGTTCGCACTGGAGGAGGCCAGGGTCTCAAACTCACTGAGCGCAACCCCTGCCTCTCATCAGGCTCAAGAAGCGAGGCAGCTCCACTTCCCTCCGAGGGTCCCGCAGAAAACCGGGAGCAGAACCCAGCCTGCTCAGCCCCAGTCGCAGCCCTCCTCACACAAGACAGCAGCTTTTACAGCCGGAACGCACCACCCAGATCAGGCTCCCTCTCCACACCTCAGATCAAGATCAGGCCCGAAGGACTGAAGTAACTTACCGAAGGGCACATACACAGCGATTCAGCGGTAGCCAGGAGAACAGGCTCAAGACCTGTGTCCCCTGGGCCGGCACTCTGTCCACTCCACGGAGTTTCTTCTATCCCTCCCTGAACCTGAGACCCTCTGCCTCTCCCTCCCACCCCGCGGAAATGTCTCGGTGTTATGTGTACAGTCAGTTCTGTGACGGCCCCATCGTGGGGGTCAAGAATGGCTCCAGCGATTCATACTCCGGCTTGGCTCAAGCAGTAGTTGCAGACAGCCGGATCTACCCAGCCAAGCTAGCTCCTTTCCTGGGTACAGAACCAGGCCACGTGAGCCCGAAGCCAGGGTGTGCAGACCAGGAAGAGGGCTACTCCCAGCGCTGGTGCCCTCCCGAAAGCTGGCTGCCTGCAACTCTGTGTCCTCTCCCAGCAAATAAATGTGCCCTCTTGTCTCTCCTGTTGCCCCTTGCCAACATCTCTCCCTGGCTCCATCTTACCATGTAGCATCTCCTCTGTGTCTGGGTCTCTCTCCCCACCCCACCTCACTCGTGTCCCAGCTGCAGTGCTTTGCTATCTCTGCAAGGTACCGCATGATCTCACTGTGCTGTGTCCCACCCCTGCCTGGGAGGCTGGGCAGCCCCTGCCCAAGGTTAACGGGCTTGAGGGTCTGGGAGAGCGTGAGGCCACGAGGGACAATGTGTGCAAGGGGAAGCTTGCCCATGTAACCTGTGGACGTGGCAGTGGGAAAAGCACTAGGCAGGGAACCTGAACACTAAACTGGAGTCCTGGGACACGATACCCTCCTGCACCCCCGTTCATTGCCCACAAAATCAGGATAACCCAGTCTCCCGGCGTTACCTCTACAAGCATCAAACGAGACCACGTGGGGAAAGAGCAGAAGTGAACAGCTCTGCAGGCCTAACAGTGAGGACGTGTGTGTGAAAGAACACTACGGGTTTTGCCTGCCTCCGTCAGGGTTACACCTGCAGCAGTGCCCACGCCGGACAGTGTGTGGGCCTGGGAGAGGGTGATCAGGTGTGGCTGCCCAAGGCCCTACCCTGCTCAGCTGACCCACCCACGCCCCTGATGCCAGGTCCCTTGGTCTAAGCCCTCACCACCCCCGACAGATGACCTACACCATACCAGCTGCTCCCGGCCTTTTCCCTCCCCGCACCTTGGTCCCCCTCCCCCCCCCTTGGTCCCCCTCCCCCCACCTTCTTCTTCTCTGGCAACTCTTTGTATTTCTTGGACAGAATCTTGGTCAGGTCCAGGTTGCTCATCTCGGGGTGGAGTTTTGCATACTTGGCCCGCTTCTCCATGAAAAAGCGGAAATAAGGGGTCAGGGGCTTCTTTGGGAAGTCCGGGTGTTTCTGGAAGGAGGGACAAGGACATGGTCAAGGTGAGACACCGGCCGTTCTTTGGACTTTGCCCCTCCAAACCTTTGTGCTCCTTCTCCTGGAAACTCACCTTGAGTTTTTTGCCTTTGTAAGGGTTTTTAACATGTTCCTGAGCATCGAGGATCAATTCTGTCAACGTACGGAACTTCCTCACCTGGAGGAAGAAGGGAGGTGAGTGGAAGGGGAAGTTCCGAGGAGGGGGACACCACCCAGGAACGAAGCCTTGTTCCCCAACAGGCCTTCTTTACTTTCCACTAGACTGAAGTTATCAAAGGAGGAGGGCAGGGGCCAACAGTGACACAACTCAGGCAGCCCTGACACCCAGGCAGACACCCAGGCAGACACCCTGCAGAGGCCCAGGCAGTCAGTACACAGCACAGGACAGCAACAAGGCGACCGCCTGACCTCGAAATGGTTGTTCATGTCAGCACCTCATTCAAACAGCTCAGGCAACAGACGCTCTAAGACGGTAAGTATTCAAGGCCACACAGCTAGAAAGTGGCAGAACTGAGAAGTCTTGGCCAGTGCTGTCAACCGTGCCACCTCCCGAAATGCACAAGGGCGACCACAAGAGCACCTCGCCTAGTCTCTTTCCTTCCTGTTTATAGACTTCTGTTCCATCTCCTCCACCAGGAAGGTTGAGGCAAGGGTAAGTGTAGATGTGTGTTCGAATGTGTCAGGAAGCATGTGGGGGGGATCCGTTACCTCGTTAGAAATCTCCACCCATTTGAGCTTGCACATGTCTCCAGAAAAGTCTTTAAATGCTACTTTTTCCCAGTCCATATGTGACTCGGTGGTTTTGAACTTGGAGCTGTCATTGGATGGAAGGTTGTTCTTCATGCATTCCAGCAAAGTCAGCATGTCTTCCTGGGACCAGCGGTCTGGGGAAGGGTAAGAAAAGCCATCACGCCTAGCTCATGCCAGCCCCCATCTGCTCCCCGGTCCTTAAGCACTCAACCCTTCCTTCCCAGAGCATCCCAGACCCTGATTATTTCCCATCTGAAGGCATACACAAGACATGGCCTGGCCTTAAGGAAAAGCCATGGCCATACGGATTAGAGTGGGGACTCCAGTCCAGACAGCATCAGGCCTAGAAACCCAGATGTGGACTCAAGTCTGGCTAACTTCAAAGCTATTATCATTTCTAACATGCCAGCCTGACACGGGTTACAGTTTACTGTAGCGAAGTGGGGGGAAAGGACGCTACAGTGATTTGGGACACTGCTGGAGAACAGCTAGCTTATCGGAGAAGGAAGGGAAGGAGGGAGGCAACACATCTAAACGTGAAGCTAAATTCAATCCAAGTTCTAGGTGGCTACCCTAAATGTGCAGACTGAGGAAGGGGTGTGGGCAGTAAGGAGAACCCATGCTGTTGTTTCTCTCCAGCACAGCTAGAAACTAGCATTACAGGCATGAATATTCCACCATCCTACCCCTCCTCTCAAAGAGAACCAAAGGAGAATTTGGGGTAAGTAAAACAATGGTAGAGCCATATAGGGCAGCTGTGAGGCAAGGCAGGCAGGTGGGCAAACGCTCCCAGGGCCCTGCTCCAGGGAGACACCGCCCCTCTGCTCCCTCGCCTAGAATTCTGAGTTGTCTTCTCAGCCCAACTCCCCATGCAGGCAAAAAACGGAGTCTGGACCAGCTATTTCCAGCCACTGAAAGGTAGCTCCAGTGAGGCCTCTCTGGAGGGTGGCTACCCTGGAAAGTGAGCTGGGAGGACAGCTATCCAAGGCTAGGAGTCAAAAGGGCTCTTGTATTTACATCTGGTAACCTGGGCCAGGGTTTCCACAGATGGGTCACATGAACCCATAATCCTCTCTCTTCTCAATGTCCGACAGGCATTGACAGATGCTCAGATTCATCCTACCCCCTGCCACCCTACACACTGGATCCCCACTGGGTGGGGTAGGGTGTAGTTATTTATCTTTGAGGCCTCAAGCCATCAAAACACCCTTTCTCTCCAACCTGCCTCACCAAAAACTGTCCTCTTAATAACAATAAAGAACCTGAAAAGCCTCCCCAATCCCTCTCATCTCCCCCTTCCTCCACATTCCTCATCTTCCCTCCCGTTCCAGGACACTGTTGGGGACACACTAGAGCTGACTGGGAACCCCAGAAGGAAGACTTGCATATGCCTCCTTCTCCCCCTCTGACGTGGGGGTAATGGAGTGTGAAAAATACAGTTTATAGGTTCAAGGCCAAATAATTTGGGTTTAGCCAAACCCCCAGTGTAAGGGATGTTTGACACTCAAGCCGCTCCCTTCCATATCATTTCAGAGAATGCAGACTGGAGAAAACCTTTAGAAGGGGAGTGGGCCTTGCAGACCTACGTGAGAAAAGAGGATTTAAGTTAAAGAGGCCTGAGGGTCGGGGCTCCTACCTTGGCCTTTGGGGGCGGCCATTTCCAGGTCTGTGGGGCAGTCGGCTTCTCCGTTCATTCTCCAGCCGTCCAGCCACCTCCTCGGTCGTGCTGGCCAGGCAAGCCGGGGTCAAAGCCACCTCACCCTTTAGAAGAGACACCAGTCCCCATTCAGGCGGGCTGAGAGGTGCGGGACTGTCTATCCCTCCCTCCCCCAAAGGGGAGGGGGACATAAGCCCACACTCTCAGAGAAACCCAGCCAAGACTCTAGGAGGCTTAATGAGTTGGTGGGGGTGGGAGTGCGCTCCTCCTCTACCTCCTAACCACACAGCCCCCCGCCCCACAGCTCCTACAGCCCCGCTCCTCGGCGTGCGCCCTCCCCTGCCCACGCGAGAGACTGCTCCCAGCTCCCGCGTGCAGCTATAGCACCCGCTCTCCGCCCTCCTTCCCCCACCCCGGCCAAAAAAAAAAAACCCAAAAAACTCCTCCTCTCCTGTGCGCCCCGCCCCGGGGAGGCCCCAGGCTGGAGGGCGGGGGAGGAGGAAGGGCGGGTAAAGGGCGCGCGCGGCCGCGGAAGCGGGCACGCGCTGTAGTCTCCTCCTCCCGCTCCCCCCCGGCCGGTTCCCCCCGCCTCCGCAACCCGGCGGGGACCCGGACGCAGCGCAGCCGCCGCGGGCCCCGGAGCGCAGCGGCCGCATCGCCCCCGGGGACCGGATCCGGATTCCCGCCGCCCTCCCCCTCGGGCTCCCGACGCCGTCCCCGCCCGCCTGGGCGGGTGAGCAGCCGGAGAGAAGCGGCCTGGCCTGCCCCCCGCCCCCGAGCCACCCACCCCGGCCAGAGGCGCCGCCACCGCCCAGCCACCCCGACGCTCACGGAGGAGCCCGGCGCAGAGGCGCGACCACGGCGGGAACCGCCGCCTCCTCCCCCGAGCCTGCGGCCCAGCCCCGCCGGCGCCCCCGCCCCGGCCTCCGGGGAGCCGAGCCAAGGAGAGGGCGGGAGGACGGCGGCCGGGAGGCGGGGGAGCAGCGCTCACCGGCCCCGCCGCCCCCTCCGGCGGCCGGAGAGAACTGCGCCTGCCGGCTCGGAGAAGCGCGGGCTCCTCCGCCTGCGGCCGGGTCTCGGCTCGGGCCTCGCTTCCTGCCCTCCCCTCCCCCGGTTCTCGGCGTCCTCTCCAGTGCCCTGGTCCTCTCTCGCCCAGTCCCCTGCCCGGAAGTCGCCCGGGTCTCCTCCGGGTGTCCACCGCACCCACGGCTCGCTCCCCGCCGCCCGGCCCCGACCCCGGCGCGCGTCCTCAGCCGCCTCGGTTACCCGGCGCAGCGCGGCCTCCGGGCTTCCCACTCCGGCGGCTCCCTCCCCGGCTCTGAGCGGCGGCGCCCTCCCCCGCTCGGCCGGGCACAGCCGCAGCTCCCTCCCGCGGCGGCAGCGGCTCCTCCTCCGGGCGCGGCGGCGGCGGCGCTGGGGCGGCGGCTGCTGCTGCTGCTGTGGCGGCGGCGGCTGTGGCTGCTGCCTGCTGCTCCTCGCGGCGAAAAGCACAAAGCACAGCGCCCTCCGCCTGCAGGCAGCCCGCCCGCCGCCCGCCCGCCGGCCCCGGCCTCAGCTCGCACACCCCCCGCCGCCGCCGCAACCTCCGCCGCCGGAGCGGGGAGGAGGAGGGAGAAAGGAGGAGGAGCGGGAGGGGGGGCGGGAGAAGCGGGGCAGCGAGCGCGTCCTTCCCCGTAGAGCGCACACCGACCCCCGGGGAGCGAGCGCCAGCCCGCCCGCCTCGCCGGCTCCGCTCCCTCCCACAGCCTGCCCGGGCGGGCTCCGCGGGGGGCAGCTGGGAGGAGGGGCGGGAGCTGGGGGGACCCGGGCGGCCGAGGCGGAGGGAAGGAAGGAGGGGAGGGGGGTGGTGGTGGTGGTGGTGGTGGTGCTGGTGCTGGTGGTGGTGGTGCTGGTGCTGGTAGTAGTGGTGGCGGCGGCGGCGGCGGCTGCTGCCGGGGAGGGGGGGGGCCGGGGCAGGGAGACACGCAGCCGCCCGGATGGCGGCGGGGCTCGGAGCCGAGGCAGGCGGGCGGGCGGGCGCCGAGAGCGACCTCGCCAGACCCGCGGGGGAAGTAGCAGGCTCGGCCGGCGCGGGAGGGAGGGCGCGAGGTGCGGCCGCAGAGAGGGTGCCCGGAGGGCCCCCAGGCGGCCGTGGAGGCTCAGGGGTCGGCTGCAGCTCTGCTCCGGAGCTCTCTCCCCAGTCTTCCCAGCTCAGATTCGGGCTTCCACTCCAGCCCTCATACGCTCCCTTCGCCCGCCTCGCTGAGCGGGCGGTCCGCGCCCACCCTTATCCCCGGAGCGTAGCCACCGGCTCGGGGCGCACGCACGCCGATTGCGGCGCCAGGCTTCGGCGCCTGCCTCGCGATCGTCTAGCTGCCGAGCAGCACACACACACGAAACTTTCAAAAAAATTATCCCTACAAAATATTCTCCTTGCTAATTAAAAAAAAAAATCTTCTTTGGTCCTTAAACCCCGCAAAGGGCGAGGGGGCGACGGGCTCCGGCGGAGGAGCCTCTCTGGGAGCTGGTTCAATCCAGCCCGGCATGGCTCCCCAGGCCTGCCCGGGCGCATGGAGATCGGCGCCGCCGCCACTCTCAGCAACCCCTCTCCCCCGAAATCGGCGGCGCCGGGGCTCACTTACCGAGCGTGTGAATGGGAGCGCGGGCCAGGGGCACCTTAGGGGTGCGGCGGGCCGAAGAGCCGAGCCGCAGCTCCGCCGCAGCCGACGCCGGGGCAGCAAGTCGCCAGACAAAGCCCGAGATGGCGAAGCGGAGCGACGGCTAATGGCGAGCCCCACGCGCCGCGCTCCGCCCGCCCCGCTCCGCCCGCCCGCCCGCCCGCCTCGGCGCAGCGCAGCGCCGCTCCGAGCGCTCGCCCGTCAGAGCCGCCTCGGCGCCGCCGCCGCCTCCCGGGCCACCCGGGCCTCTCCTGGCCCCTCCGCCTCCTCCGGGCGGCTTAGCCTCACCCCTTCCCTCCCACCGCGCTGGGGGCTGCACGAAAATAAAAAAAAAGAAAAGGAAAAATGTTTTTTTTTTTTTTCCTTTGGTAGGGCGGGCGTGTTGAGACTTTCGGATCTTTTTGCCCCCAGCTCGCACTCACCTGCGGAGCCGCCGGGAGGGCTGGGGGTGGGGGCGCGCGGGGCTGGAGCCGGCAAGCGCGGGTTGAAAGCTAGCCAAGCTCTGCAGCGCCCGACCCGGGCGTATACGCCGCCGCCAGTCCCCGCAGAGAAATCGTCCTCCTACCCCCGCCTCCATCGCTCTGCGTTTCTCTTCCAATCAGCCGATCGCTTGGCGGCTCCTCCATTCTCCGGCCAAGCCCGATGCCTAGAGCGAGCTCCACTCCTCCGTCTGCTCGCCCGGCTCCTCGCTCCCCTGCCGCGGCCGGCGAGACGACGTGGGGACGGAGGGGGATTTGCGAGGGAACCTGCGGCTTCCCGGTCCCATTGCTCCCTCCCCGCTGCCTCCTGCTTCTCTCCTGCGTCTTTCCAACTCTCCCCTGTCGCCACTGGTGTGTGTCTGAGTGTGTGCGCGCTTTTTTTTTTTTTATTGCTCTTTTCTTTTGCAACCCCTGGGCCAAAGGGGGGGGGGATAGAAAGGGGGGGTGTTACCAAAAAGAAAAAAAAAAGCAAGCAAGAAGCTCTTAGGTTTGTAACACATTGGAAAACCGGGGGAGTACCCCGCCTCGTCCGATATCGGAGCCCCGCGAGGGCCTTCCGGGTTTTAGAGCGAGCCTCACGCTATTCTCAATGCCCCTCACCTCCTTCGGGTTTAGGGTCCGAGGAGTCCGAGCAAATAATTCTCCCCCTGGGCCGTAGCAAGGGGGTGTCAGGGTGAGAGTTGGGGGCATTCCTCAAGAAGCAAAACCATCCCTCCCACCCCAGCTTCGGTAGCTGGGCCGGAGTCCGGGTTGAGAGCAAAAATCCTGGTTGGTTTAGGCGAAGAGGATTCCGGGGCAAAGTCGGAGCCGCGAGACCGCGCTTCGAGCATCTCCCCTTCGGTCTCTGCCGCCTGTCCCCTGCCTGCTCCCCGTTTAATTTTTTTTTTTTTTTTTTTTTTTTGCCCCCTCGCCTTTAATCTAATTTCTTCCAACTCCACCTTTGTTGTTAACCGGCGTCACGCCCGGACTAGCCAATCCCCGCCACGCAATCAGCTTGTCAAAAAGGCTCGGCCAGCCCTGGGAAAACAGGCCGCGGGCACTGCCGCCCCAACCTTACCCCCCGCCCCCCGCACGGCGGCGGCGGCAGGGAGCCGCGAGGGGAGCCTTGCACCCCGGCCTCGCCGCCCGAGCCGCAGCGGGGCAGCCTCCTCGTAGGTTTCCGCTCTCCACCATCCTGAGGGCCAGGGATTTTAGGCCCTGGGCGGGGATCGAAAGGCCTGGGCGGGACCACCATCTACCCTCCCATTGCCGTCGGCTGTGGTTGTCTGTCTCTGCCTCTCCTCCTCCGAGGAAGGTTCATCTGGACGCAGGAAGCCAGAAGACAGTCTGAAGAACGCCTGCTTCCAATCGGCGAGCCTACGGCTTGGGCCATCGCTCCGGGGGCAGAGCCATTGCTCCCGGGTCCCGGAATGCCATCTACCACACCAACACTGCTACGGCCCACGTCTCGACCAGCTGGATCACCGGCCCCTTTGGACTCTCCCCTGGCACACAGCCTTCTCCATCCTCACACAACAGCCTCGCTGCTGCTGTAATTCCTCTTGTCTCCTGGGAGAAATGAGATTCCTTTCCCAGGACTTCCATAGCCCACATCTGCCACGTTTCACAAACAAGGAGGAAAATCCTGTCAAGGTCTGGTGTGTCTGGATTTTTCAGTGGGTAGGGCATGTAGGAGGGGCCGATTTACCTTGACGCTATTGAAGCTTACGCTTCAGGGCTCCTCATCGCAGGGCCTGTTCAAGGCCCTGTCCTTAATTTTGATTCATCATTTGGTATTATTTTTGAGTCTCCCCCTCCCCTCCAATTGTACAAGTTTTAGCCCCACAAACCCAGCTCTGCCCTTGGAACCTACAGAGTGCATTTTGTGTAGGACCAAGACATCTCACACTGCACTTCGAGCCTGCAGGGACTGACTTTCTTGTTTTGACTGGGAAACAGCAAAGGGTTTGGAGTCAGAAGTCCCAGCTTCCGAGCTTCTCGGCTTCCCAACCTTCTTAACAGTGTGAGTTTGATTGAATCTCTTAACCTCATCTGATCCCAGTTTCCTTGTCTATAAAATTAAAATAGCAATCCTATGTTTTCTGCTTTCCTCGCCAGGGGCTGGAGGGTCGAGTGAGATGATATATGTAAAACTGTAAAATACTCCACAATGTCACTTGCGATGTTTACAATGAGACTTAGACCCCAAGAAAGTTCCAAGTCTTCCACACACAGATCTGGAGTCCAGGTGTCCTGGCTCCTGGCCCTGAACTTCTTGGCTGGGCCAAGGGGCCTTTCGGTAAAGGGCTTTGGAATAAAACAGGATGAACATGAATCATAAGAATGATAATAATAATTATTATTTTTAATTAATTTATTTTGGCTGCATTGGGTGTTCGTTGCTGTGCGTGGGGCTTTCTCTAGTTGCGGTGAGTGGGGGCTACTCTTCATTGGGTTGCGTGGGCTTCTTATTGCAGTGGCTTCTCTTGTTGCGTGCAGAGCACAGGCTCTAGGCGCGCGGGCTTCATTAGTTGTGGCATGCGGGCTCAGTAGTTGTGGCTCGCGGGCTCTAGAGCGCAGTCTCTGTAGTTGTGGCCCATGGGCTTAGTTGCTCCGCGCCATGTGGGATCTTCCCAGACCGGGGCACGAACCCGTGTCCCCTGCATTGGCAGGCGGATTCTTAACCACTGCACCACCAGGGAAGCCCAAGAATGATAATTATTGATTTTTCATTTCTTGGGCAGCAAAAACCATAGCTGGCACTTTTCCCACTTGGAAACCAATTGGCTTGTTTTACATCTATTGTGTCTCTGGTGAGGTCAGGAGTCTAGGACTTGGGCTATGGGCCAGAGCATGAGGGAACCTACCCTTGGTCTTTTTTATATGCCGCCTCTCCCAATTCACTCCCCCCTCCCTCCCAGTTTTCTGCCCTGTGCCTTGAAGCAGAGCCTCAGCATTCCACAACTCCAGCCAGGCTGGTGACAAGGCATAATCCTAGTTACTCATTCTCCACTTGGCCCCAGCCTTTCCTTGGGTTGCCAGTATCCCAGCACTAGCTCATATAAAACCCCTACTGTGCCTGGAATGCATTAACCAAAGTGTGGCACTAATTCCTAGTGTACATGGAGTAATTTTAGATAGTGTACAGATGAATGTATTGTCTTCAAAGTTATGTATTATATTGCGTATTTGGAAATGCATTTTTTTTTAAAATTTAAGATAGTGACATAAACCTGCTTCTTTTTTGGGGGGAGCTACTGTCCCTCATTTATTTTTTTTCTTTTTTATTGAGGTGTAACTTACAGATAATGAAGTGTACACATCTTAAGAGTACAGCTTGATGCATTTTTACCTATGTATACATAGTTTACATGTTACATATATGTACGTATATATATTCATGCATACATATACACACATGTATAATGCAACTACCACCCTGATCAAGATATTGAATATTTCTAGCATTGAGCAAGCTCACTCAAAGTCAATATTCCCCTCCAAATGTCACCAGTATTCGGAGCTATTGCCATAAGTTTTGCCTGTTTTTGGAGTTCATATGCATGGAATCATTCAGTCTGTATTCTTTTACATCTAACCTCTTTCACTCAACATTATGTCTAAGATTAATTTATGATGTTGCACGTAATACTGGTTCATGCCTTTTCATTGCTATGTAGTATTCCACTGTATAAATATACCACAATTTATTCTTTCTACTTCTAATGGGCGTATGGGTTGTTTCCAGTTTTTGACTACTATGAATAAAACAGCTTCAAACCTTTTTGTGCCTATATTTTGGTGGATATATGCATTCATTCCTCCTGGGTGTATTTCTAGGAGTGGATTCCTATATCATAGGCTATAAATATGTTGGACATTATTTGATACTGCCAAGTAGTGTTGTCAGTGGTTTTGGATTTTGGTCATTCTAATAAGTGTGTGGTGATGTCTCATTGTTTTAATTTGCAATTCCTTAACGGCATATGATGTTAGATATCTTCTCATATGCTTAGTTGCCATCCATATATCTTTTTTGGTGAGATGTCTGTTCAGATCTTTTGCCCAGTTTTTCAATCAGGTTGTTTTCTTTTTTTTTTTGGCTTGCCATGCAGCATGTGGGACCTTAGTTCCCCGACCAGGGATTGAACTGCCAGGGAAGTCCTGACTTTGTTTGTTTTCTTATTGTTGGGTTTTAAGAGTTCTTTGTATATTTTGGCTAACAGTCCTTTATCAGAGGTGTCTTTTGCAAATATTTTCTCCCAGTCTGTGGCTTGTCTTCTCATCCTCTTGACTTCGTCTTTCTCAGAGCAGAAGTTTTTTATTTTAATAAATTCCAGTTTATCAGTGATGTCTTTCATGCCTTTGGTGTTCTATCTAAAAAGCCACCACCATACCCAAGGTCACCTAGGTTTCTTCCTGTGTTATCTTCTGGGAGTTTTATAGTTTTGTGATTTAGATTTAGGTATATGATCCATTTGGGGTTAATTTTTTGTGAAGGATATAAGATCTATATCTAGATTGATTTTTAAATTTTTTGCATGTGGATGTCCAGTTGTTCCAGCAACTTTTTTTTTGGCTGTGCCACGCAGCTTGTGGGACCTTAGTTCCCCCGACCAGGCATTGAACCTGGGCCCATGGCAGAGAAGGTGCCCAGTCTTAACCACTGGACCACTAGGGAATTCCCCAGCACCATTTGTTGAAAAGACTATCTTTGCCACATTGTATTGCCTTTGCTCCTTTGTCGAAGATCAGTTGATTATATGTATGTGGATCTATTTCTGGGCTCTCTATTATATTCCATTGATCTATTTGTCTATTCTTTCACCCATACCACACTGTCTTGATTACTGTAGCTTTATACACATCTTGAAGTTGAGTAGTGTCATTCCTTGAACTTTGTTCTTCTCCTTCAATATTGCATTGCCTATTCTGGGTCTTTTGCCTCTCCACGTAAACTTTAGAATCAGTTTGTTGATGTCCACAAAATAACTTGATGGAATTTTGATTGGGATTGCTTTGAATCTGTAGATCAAAATGACAAGAACTGATGTCTTTTTTTTTGGCTGCATTGGGTCTCCATTGCTACACGTGGGCTTTCTCTAGTTGCGGCGAGCGGTGCGCGGGCTTCTCATTGCGGTGGCTTCTCTTGTTGCGGAGCACGGGCTCTAGGCGTGCGGGCTTCGGTAGGTGTGGCATGCAGGCTCAGTTGCTCCTTGGCATGTGGGGTCTTCCTGGCCCAGGGATCGAACCCGTGTCCCCTGCATTGGCAGGTGGATTCTTAACCACTGCACCACCAGGGAAGTCCAGAACTAATGGCTTGAAAATATTAAGTTTTCCTATTCATGAACATGGACATTTCTCCATTTATTTAGTTCTTCT